TAGAGACGGGGTTTCACCATGTTGACCAGGATGGTCTCGATCTCTTGACCTCGTGATCCACCCGCCTCGGCCTCCCAAAGTGCTGGGATTACAGGCTTGAGCCACCGCGCCCGGCCAACAACAACGTTTTTAATTAGCTGGACATGGTGTCATGGGCCTCTAATCCAGCTACGTTGGAGAACTAGGGAGGAAGACTGCTTGGCCCACAGGTCGAGGTCGCAGTGACAGCTACGATTGTGCCACTGCACTCCAGCCTGGGCAAGAGTTAGGCCCTGTCTTTAAAGAAATATTAGAAATGTAGCTAGGAGCTTCAAATGACAGGACATTTCTATATACAATGGATTTTCTAATCATGGGTCCACTAACTAGCTGGACCACATAGTCTTAGTTTGTATCCCAGACCCTCTAAAATGAGGGATAGGAGTCCAGGTAGCTCGCTCCATGGCAAGCAGTAGTCTTTTTTATTTTTGAGACAGGTTCTCGCTATGTTGCCCAGGCTGGTCTCATCTCTGGCTCATGCGATTCTCCTGCCTCTGGAGAGGCTGGGATCAGACGCAACTGCCACCACACCCTGCTCCTAGGCAGTAGTCTTAATGCCTGATGGTGGGGGGTTGGAGAAAGAAGGCATCCAGCGTCAGGATAAATGCTGCAGAGCTGCGTTAAGGACTTAAGGCCAGCAGTCAAATGCCTCTGCCCACATCCTACTCTGCAAGGCTTTGGGCAGCTTAAGCAGCAGCCTCTGTTTCCGTTGCGGTGGCTCTTGCCTGTAATCCCAGCACTTTGGGAGGCTGAGGCAGGAGGATCAGTTGAGCCCAAGAGTTTGAGACCAGCCGAGGCAACACAGTGAGATCACCCCATCTCTGCTTCCTCATGTGAATGTGGTTTTAAGGAGATGACACAAACACACACAGAGTGCTATTAGCAAGTCCCAGTACAGAATAAATACTCATTTCATAAAGTACGTGTTTATTATTACCATAGGCCTACAGTCCCCAGTATTCTTAATCCATCTTGCCTGAGAAGTATCACACTCATGCTTATTAATCAGCTCACACATTTAATCAAAGGATTTTGGCAACTGTAGGGTGGTCTTTTCATCCATATTGTCCCTGGAATTAAGTGTCCTGCTATACCCGTGCAGATTCAGCAGCATCTGTCAAGAGTTTCAATCCCATTTGCAGAGGAAAGGCTCTGCGGCTTCAGCCGGTGGCTCTCCGCAGGTGCTGTGACTGGACCCAGCCCATCTTCATCTCTGTTAGGCTTCGGGGTCTTTCTCCACACTGCCTTGTCCAATCACAAGACTTCAACGGAGACGGCGGTCTGGCCTAGGCTCTTCTGAGTGGGATATCCGCAGGCCAAAAATCGGAGTCAGGATTCGAAGCCGCGCGCAGTGTCCGGAATGACCCCTCAACGCCGAGGCCAGTATAGAGCCCAGAAGGGAAAGTAAGCGGCCTCGGCCCCGCGCAGCCCAGGCTTAAATGTTTGCGCCCGGGCCCCTCTGGCTACCTGGTGGTGGCCCTGAGCGGCCCCGGAGGCCGCGGCGTAGCTCCTGGGTGAAAGCGTCTTTGAATCGCTCAGCGCGGCGGCCCAGGGAGCCCGCGGGCCCAGCCGCGAGGTCCCGCAGGCGGCGGGCCGCGTCTTGGCCCCGCAGCTGGGCCTGTAGCAGTGCGAAGGCTGTGAGCTGCGCCGCACGTCGGATAGGCCACGACTCCGATAGACGATCCACTAGCTGTGGACTGTGCAGCAAGGCAGCCAGCAGCCGTCGGAGCACCATCCTTTCCCGGCGCCCGATACCCGAAGCGCGCCGCCCTCGCCTTCCGTCCCCTGCCTTCCGCCCCGCGGGGTCCGACCGGACACCTTTTGTGCCCGCGCAGCTTGATGACGACTCTGTCGCCCGGATTGGGTCCAATAAGATGCGCATCTCCGCACGTTTCCGCTTCCGCCACGGCAGCCACCGCCTCGTGTCGGTAGTCGTCGCATTGTCGTCCGCTCGTCTGCACTATGTCGGGTGGCCTCCTGAAGGCGCTGCGCAGCGACTCCTACGTGGAGCTGAGCCAGTACCGGGACCAACACTTCCGGGTGAGGGAGGCCGGGACGCGAGAGGGGACGGCCCTGGGCCAGAACGCCGAGAAACGGTTTGCTCTTGTCTCGTTGTGTTGCCTCCCGTTATGCTGGAGTCCCCAAACGCCAAGCGGGGCCTCGGTGCCTGCTGGGGAGGCAGGGAATGGGTGCTGGAAGGGCGTTTCGTTGTCAGTGAAGCCACTTTCTATGGAAGAATGGGAATTTGAGGCTCGCTTTCCCAGTCCCTCGCAGGCACTCCCGGTACTCCGGCCATCGCCGAGAGGTTTGAGTGGTAGTAGTAGTAGTGGCTCCCGTTTCCACGGTTTTGCCTCTGGAAGGGGACTCTGTAACAAGGGGGAGGGGTGTCCTAACTCCCTGAGTCCATAGAGGCGCCTTTCTGAGGCAGATACGGGGCTTTTTACTTTTTTAAATCAGCGAAGCCGTGCCCTTCGGCGATTCGGGCCCCTTCTCTAGGAGGGTGGTCCTACGGAAACGGTTAGCGGTGCGTGGGAGACACAAGTGGAGTCCTCACTCCGCCCTCGGGGAAGCTTCGGAGTGGGAAGTGGACCCGTCAAACTGAGCATGTTGAGGGTTTAAAGATGGGAGAATTGCTGCATTTCAGAAGAGGGAAATTTTTAGTCCAGACTATATCGAATGCTATATCACTATATTTTGTGGAAAAGGGGGAGGCTGCAGATATTCAGAGTAGGCTTTTCAGTATCAGCAAAGGCAGGGATGGAATAGGGTTGCGGGGAGCGGGACTCATTAACCCAGTTATTTAGTAAATGTTTATTGAGTGTTGTTGCTAAAGCCTTGTACTAAACCCTACAGGGAGAGAGGGAAGACAGTTTTTTGCACTCTACGAGCTCACAATTCCCTGTAGTGTGGATTATAAATGGAGGGAAGTAATCAGAATCTAAGCAGAAGTGAGTTGAGAGAGAAGTAGTGAGGATTCAGAAAAGGGGGGGAATCCCCTTGTGACTGGGAAATGAAGGGGTGCACATAGCAGAGGGTAAGTGGGGAGAATGTGTGAAATAAGTAGGGAAAAGCAAATTTTGTTTGACAGCAAATTGGGGAAGCTCTTAAATTTATTCAGCCGAGCATGGTGGCTCACGCCTGTAATCCCAGAACTTGGGGAGGCAGAGGCAGCCAGATCATGACGTCAAGAGATCGAGACCATCCTGGCCAACATGATGAAACCCTGTCTCTACTCAAAATACAAAAAATTAGCTGGGCGTGGTGGCATGCCCCTGTAGTTCCAGCTACTCCGGAGGCTGACAGGAGAATGCTTGAACCCAGGAGGCGGAGGTTGCAGTGACCTGAGATCGCGCCACTGCACTCCAGCTTGGACAACAGAGCGAGACTCCATCTCAAAAAAAAAAATTTATTTATTCAAGGACGGGCATGGCACGGTGGCTCACACCAGTAATCCCAGCACTTTGGGAGGCCGGGACAGGTGGATAACGAGGTCAGGAGTTCTAGACCAGCCCGGCCAAGATGGTGAAACCCCATCTCCTAAAAATACAAAAATTAGCTGGGCATGGTGGCGGTTGCCTGTAATCCTGGCTACTTGGGAGGCTGGGACAGGAGAGTCGCTTGAAACCCAGAAGGCGGAGGTTGCAGTGAGCTCAGATCACGCCACTGCACTCCAGCCTGGGCGACAGAGTGAGACTATGTCTCAAAAAAAAAAAATTTTTTTATTTTTTGAGACAGAGACTAGCTCTGTCGCCCAGGTTGAAGTGCAGTGGCACAATCACGGATCATGCAGCCTCAGCCTCCTGAGCCCAAGTGATCCTCCCACCTCAGCCTCTGGAGAAGCTGGGGCCACAGGTTCCCACCATTACCTATGGCTTTTTGTAGAGACAGGTCTGCCTGTATTGTTCGGGCTGGTCTCAAACTCAGGGACTCAAGCGATCCACCTGCCTGGGCTTCCCAGAGTGTTGGGATTACAGATGTGAACCACTGATCCAGGCTGGTCAAGTTTTTAAATACTTAAGTGCCAGGCATGATTTGCACTTCTACCACTTTTACACTTTAGACAGTTCCACGTCCTAACCATTTTTAACTTGTCTTGTGAAATGAAAACAGAAAACTTTTGACTTTGTCTATCATTCATCTCTTCAGTCTAAAACCGAGAGCTTTATTTAGACAGTAATACCATACTGTCATGTGGAATTTCTAGCATTCTGTGAATGGAATCCATATTCATATACTTAAGTACCAAACTGTAGGCTATTTATTTGGACCTTACTTATGTGTGAGGAAGTAGAAAAAGAAGATGCCCCATCCATGTTAACCAATCAGTGACAGCAGTAAAATGACAGGAATTTACTTTGTCTAATGTCTCATAGTTCTGGAAACCTCTTTTTAACTTAGAATGACTATTGTTCTGTGGATTTTTTTTTTGAGATGGAGTTTTGCTTCTGAGGCCCAGGCTGGAGTGCAATGGCACCATCTTGGCTCATTGCAACCTCCACCTCCCAGGTTTAAGCGATTCTCCTGCCTCAGCCTCCCAAGTAGCTGGGATTACAGGTGCCCACCACCATGCCCAGCTAATTTTTTTGTATTTTTAGTAGAGACGGGGCATCACCATGTTGGTCAGGCTGGTCTTGAACTCCTGACCTCAGGCAATCCACCCTCCTCCACCTCCCAAAGTGCTGGGATTACAGACGTGAGCCACTGCGCCCGACCTCGATGAGCCAGGGATTTGTCAGTTGTGCTGGATGAAGCCCAGTTATATTCTTGTCTTTGGTTTCATCCTTTCATCCCAATTTGGAAGCCCATTAGGAAAATGAGGTCTGTTTTGTTTTGTTTTGTTTTTTACTGATCGCTACATTTTTTTCCTCAACTCAGAAAAATATGAGCATGTAAAGCATCCAAGTTGTTGCTTTGAACAGTTACTATAGGTGCATTAAAAGAGGAACTCTATCTCTGAAAATCCGCTTATTTTTCACTGTAGAGGATAAAAGGGCCCTTTCTCATATATTAGGTCAAGGTCCAGAGTTTAAACTTGGGTTTAAAGGATGCAGTGCTGAGGATATGGTGTGTACATGGAAAAGGCAAGCTACTTGTGAGAGTCTGGTGTAGAAGTTATTTTGTCGTATGCGGTGTAGCTTTTGAGGCTGTCTCTCTGTTAAGAGTCTGGATTTTCCATAAGTGCTTCAGAGAATATGAACAATCCCCCCTTTTTTTGGGCAAGGGATTTGTGGTAGATTGGGATGAGAGAATTTGATTTCCAAATCAGAATTAATGAATGTTTTTTACCATGCTTAGAAATACTTTTTAAGCAAGGCTCTTAAGTTGCTTAACTTTTGTTTCTATTTGAAATTCTAGGGTGACAATGAAGAACAAGAAAAATTACTCAAGAAAAGCTGTACATTATATGTTGGAAATCTTTCTTTTTACACAACTGAAGAACAAATCTATGAACTCTTCAGCAAAAGTGGTGACATAAAGAAAATCATTATGGGTCTGGATAAAATGAAGAAAACAGCATGTGGATTCTGTTTTGTGGAGTATCCTTCCTGTGTTAAATGTAGCTGTTGAACCAGGGTAGAGCTGAGAGTGGTTGATTGCCTGTTTGAAAAAAAAAAAAAAAAAAAAAAGTGAGGCTGTTAGCTCATAAGCATCTGTGCATTTGTCCCTACGTTTTCCTTCATCTCCCTTCTACCTTCTGTTATATTTATCTCTGCTCTTACACTGTGAAAGCTGCTACTATTTACATTGTCTTGAAATCCATGCTTTGTTTATGGTTAAGAAAAAGTTTTTCAAGAATATTTGCCCTTCATGTAAAAAAAAATTCCAAAGAGCATAGAGAAAATATAAAAACCTCGTTCTGTTCTAAACACCTAATTCCCTTTCCTAGAAGCAGTCAGTTACCACTTTCTTGGGCGTCTTTCAAAAAGTAATCCTGTGGGTATGCAGTAGTGTACTTCATGTGCTGGTTTTCTTTTTAAATAATTTTTTTATTGTTCCATTTCAGCACATGTAGGCCTGTTTTAAAGACAGCTGTGTAGCTGGGTTTGACGGCTCATATTTGTAGTGCTAGCTACTCAGAAAGCTGAGGTGGACCCAGGATCACTTGAGCCCAAGAGTTCAAGGCTGCAGTGAGTTGTGATGGTGCCACTGTGTTCCAGCCTGGGTGACAGGGCAAGACCCCATCTTTGAAGAAAAAAAATTTTTTAAGTAAAATAGCTGTATAGTATTTCATTATGTAGATGTATATAAGTTGATTGTATAGGTAAAAACCAAAACTTTACTTGTGATCATTTAATTACCTTACTCAGAGTGTTTAAATATTGGACCTCCTGAATTTATCCTATGTTCTTTTTACTATATTTTATGTTTTGTTCATTCAATTTAATATTTGGAGAAGTTTTGCAGACCCAATCTAATGTTTCTTTTGAATTTTTTTTCTGTGCCCTGATTTTATGTTTGTTTTGGTTGAAAATTTTCCTTAAGTGTCTGGTAATCCCTGGGTTTTTGTTCATAATTAAGAATGCTGATTCACTGGACCCAGGCAGGGCTTCTCTCCCAGATTGCTGGCTTGCCTTGGGGATATGTGGGTTTCCCAAGTGCTAGAATGAAAAGAGATTTTATTTTGGCCTGCTAACATCAAAGCCACTAGTTCTTCCAGATGGTTTATTGAGAACACTATTGTCTTACTTGTCTGGGATTAAAAGTCTTCCTGCTTGCAGGTCTTCCCAGATAGACATTTAATTAAATGGAGATCTCTCTGATTAAGTAGGTTTGGGAGCTACTACCTTCTTGATACCTTGAATCTTTCCTTTAGTGAAATGCAGTGTGATTCCATATGTAACCTCTTTATTAAGGTTGCCCTGGAATATGTAGCACCTAACTTGAATATATGGCACTTGTTTCTTGGATAAGAAGTGTACAGTGGTCTAAACCTGCACTGAATGCACTTCATATTTTGTAAACCAAAATACGGAGATGATGAGACCAAAAATTATCAACAGGAATGTCCAGGAAATCATGATCAGTGTAGCCATGGGTAAGTGTCACATTTGACTATGTGCTTCTAGACCAATTGCAAACAGGCCTGTGCAAGCTGAATTACTGTCTTTGCACTACATCTGGTTGGATTAGCTCTTACACTTTTTAACAACTCAGCTTCATTTACATGTTGTTCTCCCATTTCCAAAAATGCTAGTGTTCCTTAATACTTAAGATATTACTCACGAGCAGATGCAGAAAATGCCATGCGGTACATAAATGGAACTCGTCTAGATGACAGAATCATTCGCACAGACTGGGACGCAGGCTTTAAGGAGGGCAGGCAGTACGGCCGTGGGCGATCTGGGGGCCAGGTATGCAAGAAGGGTCTCTGGGCTCAGCCGTTGCCTGGGATTCCAGTCACAATGACAGGCGTTTTGGCAATTTATATTTACTCTTTTATAAATAACTTCGTGTCTATATAATCTTGGCTTGAAGTGGATGTAAAAACCACCCAACAGTTTGGGGAAATTGATTTTTTAAACCCTGAAATAGTCTATTCTGTACATTTCTAACAAGCATCCATTCTTGAATTTTTGCTAGGGGCTGGATATCTTCCACCTGCAGGAATATCTACAAGGAAAGCAAAATGCACTGAAATGAGTTGAAGGTCATTGCATAGGTCAATGCATAGGTCCTGCTTGAAATGTTCACATTAGGGCATCTGAACAGGTTTCACTGACATGTTTGTGGGAGGCGTTTTTACCATTCTTCTCTATACTGTAACTCTGTTCTTTTCATTAAAGGTACGGGATGAGTATCGGCAGGACTATGATGCTGGGAGAGGAGGCTATGGAAAACTGGCACAGAATCAGTGAGTGGTGAGAGCTCCATCAGTGAAAAACACTCCTTTGGCCTGTTTAATTTGTTGAAGAACATCACTTAAAGTCTGCATACAAGCTCATTTTTACCAAGCTTTGATCAGTGTCTTTACTGAGCTGAAGGCCTCTTCTTAATTCTCCTCTGAAAGTTATTAAAGGACAGAATCCAAACGAATCCCTTTTATTCTTGTCTGAGAATCTTGGCCATGTGTCAGATATCAGAACAATTTTGTTACCAGGTCAGAAACTGTGTTCTTTGACAACAGATTGGATCTATAATGTTGATCAGTCTTTAGCCAAAACCACTATACTTCTTTTAGGAAGACTAGAAAAATTAAAAACATTTGTTTTTACCATATTGAGTGTTAAGTAGGTTCGTGATCTACATAGGGGCCTGAAATTATTTTTTTAATTTTAAGTTTGCATGAGATCATGCCTAATAAATGGAGGTGGGGCCAGGCATGGTGACTCACACCTGTAATCCCAACACTTTAGAAGGCTGAAAGGAAGGATAGCTGAGGCCAAGAGTTTGAGACCAGACTTGGCAACATAGCAAGATACCTTTGTCTACAAACAAAGCAAAACATAAAACAAATGGAGTTGTGCTATGTTGTATGGCTTTGAACTAAATTAGGAACAGGTATTTGACAACTGAATTTGTTTTCGATGAATGTTAATCTCTAAAGGCAAGCTTAGAGATCAATTTGATCTCTAAAGGCAAGCTTAGAGATCAAGGACCTTCCTAAATAGTTGGTGCAAAAGCAATCTATACAGGACAGCCTTGCTTCCATGCTTTACACATCAGGAAATGAGGCCAGAACTTGAGTATTTACTGACACATTTTTCCAAAGATGTCAATGTTATACCTAAAGCTAAAAGCAAGGGTTTGTCATAGAACCTCTATATAATTTCAAGGTTAGGGGAGACATTGTCAGTAGGAAATGGGATAAAATATCAGATGACAGTGAAAATACTGCCTTGACATGAGGACCATCAAATTTACCCTTTTCATTTCCAGTGATGTTAGGAATGGAGTGAGTTTAAAAAATGATGTTGAAGTTAGAATGTTTAATAGAAACAATCACAGAAGGTTCCTGTAGGAGATGGTGCTTTTAGCCATTTCTCATGGTGAAGTCTTGTTTTATTTTTTTCCTCAAATTGTGCTTACTGAGGCTGAAGCCTTCATAGTGAGCTGATGGTCTCTACAGAGAAGGGGAGTCTAGGGAATTTATTTTGTATTTGTAAGGCAAGAGGTGATTTTTCTCGAATACATGTGAGTTATTCATTTAAAACTGTTAGTCTAGTATAATTTTCCCCGATATGAAAAAACGCAAATTTTTTTCACTTAGCAACAGAGTACTCTCTAACTTCCAATAGTTTGTGAAAGTTGGGGCTGAAGTACCTTAGTGTGAACATCTCTCATGTTACAGTGAGTAGAAATCTGAAAGTGCTTAGGAAGAAACTTTGCAAACATTTAATGAGGATACACTGTTCATTTTAAAAATTTGTTTATATTGTAGTTTAAGCTAATGTATTTTATATTCTTTTGTAGTAAAACTTAACTCATATTTCTACAGGAAACAGTGGTTTTATTTGAATTACCTTCTATATAACAGGTTTCAATAAAGTTGGACAAACTTACCGTTGTCACTTCCCGTTTCCTGCCTTATAAAGAGGGATGTGTTCTGGAACTCCTGTACTCTGGACTACACATGAATGAGTTCTAGGGGGATTCTATGAATAATGTGGAAATTTGCACATCCATTTTGATGGAGAGTTGGAAGTAACTGGCTGCATGTGAGGAGAGAACACTGATGATGATGTGAAAGTGATAAAATAGGCACCAAACAACCTCTACTGATGGAAGAATAGCTTAGTTTTCCAGAAAAAATACTCTGGATGATTGCAGGGGAAGGGAAATAGGGGCTGAATTAAGAGGATCTTATGTTTCTTGGGCTTGAGAACACTAAATATGAGTTTCTACTGCACCATTCTTTCCTGTTTCTCATGGATAGCATCTGATGACTTATTTGTCACTTTAATCAGAGAAAGTGAAAATTCAAACATGTATACTAAGATTAGGGAACCACAATTAATATAGGTGGTGAAGTATGAGAATTAAACATTCAATTTCTCAGTCAAGCTAACCTGATTTTAAATGCTCAGTACCCACACATGGCTAGTGACTACTGTTGTAGACGAAAATACGGAACATTTCTATCATAGAAAATTCAGTTGGATGGTGCTGTTGCTTTAAGGGTAAGCTGGTTAGGGCCTGCCTGCACCACTCACTGTTCTTACATGACCCTTGTCATGACTGGAATGTCATAAGAAAAAAACTACCAAACAGTACATGTTTTTCAACACAAGAGAACACAAGTTTATAAAGGCATTTAGTTTATTTTTCAAAAAAATATTTTGCTAGAAGGGTTGAGTACTGTAATTTCATACGATGATAATCTTTAAATAAATTTTTTTTGACCAACATTTACCAGTTAAGTGAACAGCCTATCTAGGTCTGCTTTTGTAACACCCAAATGCAATTAGCACTTCTCTGATGGTATTCCCTGGGTCGTCTTAATTATCTACAGGCCAGGAGGCAGAGCCTAGCACGTAACAGAAGTATGTGCTTTATAACTGCTGATTTAATTCCGTTTCTTAACTAAGCAGAGCAGGGAATCAGTATCCCTATTTCACACTATTAACAGACTGTCTTGCCTGAAGAGTCTGACCTGCCCAGACCCCCCAATTACTTCTAGCCCAGGGATGCAGTAAACTGTAACTGCAGAGAAAAAGGGCAGCTAAGATGAGACTAGTGCTGGCTGAGTCCCAGTTAGGTCTGTTACTGTTTTCTTCCAACTATAAATCCAGGATGACAATGTTACTCAGATTCAGTGCTAGGTAGAAAAGAGAATGCAAAGCCAAAAACAGTTTGGGGATTATTGGCAGCAACTTCTTTTCCCCGTAAGAGGCCAACAGAAAGTTGATTAGGATTCTTGGGAGAACTTAACTAAAAGTTGAATTAAATCTATATTCATTGCTATGGATTTAACAAAAGGAAAGACCACTGCAAAGAAGTAACTACAGCCTGGTATGTTTGCTGAGGACAGGACTGGGCAGCTTGTTGAAGGCTCATCAAAAGTAGCTTTTAGTTAGCACAAGGTCTGCACTCAACCTCAAAAGCATAAGGTCTAGGCCTGGCACAGTGGCTCACACTTGTAATCCCAGCACTTTGGGAGGCTAAGGCAGCTGGATCCCCTGAGGTCAGGAATTTGAGACCAGCCTGACCAACATGGTGAAACCCTGTCTCTACTAAAAATACAAAAATTAGCTGGGCATGATGGTGTGTGTCTGTAGTCCCAGCTACTCGGGAGGCTAAGGCAGGAGAATTGCTTGAACCCAGGAGGCCAAGGTTGCAGTGAGCTGAGATTGTGCCATTGCACTCCAGCCTGGGCAACAGAGTGAGTAAAAAAAGGGTATAAGGTCTGCCTACCTCGTGGGCACCCAAACAGTTCAGTGCCAAACTAGTACCAGTAAAACCACGTCTGCCTCTTTCACCAACAGTCCAGAGTGTTTCAAAAATACCTTTATTAACCAAGGAAGCAATTACTGTAAACATCAGAAAAAAAGGACATTCTGATTTAGGACTTCAGTTAAACAGAGGTTTATACCTAATTTAGAGATCAAGATCATGCCACTGCACTCCAGCCTGGGTGACAGTAAGACTCTGTCCCAAAAAAAAAAAAGAAGGGAAAAAAGACCAAACTCAATATGTAGTCTAAGCCACGCTGGGCGGCACACCTCAAGATGCCCTATGAAGCATTAAGCTGAAAGTGAGAGTCACTGGACTTGGATGGCTCACGTTTCACAGATTGGAGGAAACAGCAGCTCATGCTCTGGGCGTTGATTTTCTTACAGGTACAATTCTGTCTCTTCTGCATGCCATGTTCTGTCAATGAAGAACTGAAATACTTCCTCACTCTGAAGTACAAGACATTTTGAATCAATAGCCCAGTGACTGGCTACTTTGGTATACCACACGCCCACCAAAAAAAATTAGAGGCAAATGTCTGACGTATGTTTTGAAAAATCTCATGTTTGTGTAACTATGTTTGAAAAACTCATGAAAAACTCTTCCTCACCTTAAACTCTTTTTTCCTAATGCTGACAGAACCCTACCTATAGCAGCATAAAGTGCCTCTACTCTCAGTCTTTGTAATGACTTGAAACACAGTAAGAAACACTGACCTGGTTTTAAATTAAGGATTTTGAGTCTGGAGGACTCAGGAGAGAAAGGTGCTGGGGCTGCTTCCCAGTGTCACCCCTGGTGTTGGGAACCCCGCATGTAAACATGGTCTGACTCAGTCCTCAACTGCTGGCATCAGCCTTCTCTCAGCCATACCTTAGGGCCATGTGAAACTAAACAGTTTAGCTTTTTCAACATCCCAAACCTACCCAGGCATAAATTTGAGTATCTTCTGCCATTTACTTGGTGTTTTTCTATTCAAACTTCTGAGTTTCTCATACATACACTGGTGGTTTTTCCTCCCGATTCAGAAAAGATAATTGGGTAGGTTTAACATACAACTTTCCTTTCCAATGTCACAAAAGGCTGGATTAAAGATGTAAGGTGCATGACATTAATCCTAATGCAGCTAAGTGTATGGACAAGGCCATTTAGACCTTCCTTCAGAAGATGAGCTTCAAAAGAAAGAGAAAAAACAACTGTGCTAGTGTCAGCATTGGTCATGCAGAAACAAGATGTGCCCTGCATGTTACTGAGATCACTAAAGGGACAGGAGAAAAAAACCTGATACAGCTGCTACACTCCCAGGGGAGTAAGTTGCCTTTACTACCTTCCCTCTTCTCTCCAGCCACTTGCAAAAGATCTAAAATTAGTCAGTCTTCAATTTTGAATGTTTAAATTTCAGATACCCTTGAAAATAGAAATGGATTTGGTAAACCTTAACTTCTTCCAATTGGGAGGCAACACAGGGAAATGACAACTTACAAATTACTCCTAGCTGCATTATTTGTTTGACTACTAGGTTTGATGGGATGAGAGTTTTTTAACAGGTCAAAACCAGAAAAATCCAGGGAATTCACTATCCCAGCAAAAGCCTTTATAAGATGTACACCATGTATTATAATTCTTAAAACCACGACTGAAATCTGTCATTGTTACTGGCCCCCAAAGTTGCTGTCGTTTTCTCACACCTTAATTTACTCTTCCCAAAGCACGCACTGTGCTTACAAGTGTGCCTCCTGAAACAACACACCAGTCAGTTTACGACCACTTACATCTCGCCCTTCAAAAGGAATGAATTGCACTCTCTAAGACTCACTTGGAGAGGGAAGTCAGTGAAAGGTGCCACTGGTAAAAGTAAAACAGGACTGGATTTGTCAAAACCACTCCTAGCTACCCTTAATGCCCCAGGGAACACTTACTATCTCAGAGTTATGTTGTATCAAAAACATCTTGCATTTTTAGGTTCTGGGAATAAATTTGAAACCTGTATTCAGTTCACATCTAACTAAGTTTCAAAAGCTGCACCAAATCTACTAAGCTTTTTTTTTTTTTTTTCTAATACTCTTCACTGCATGCTCTGTCTATATGCATGCGTTTGAATAATAAATATTAAATATGGGGGACGCACAGAATCCATAAAATTAAAAATGAAACCAAACTGAACATTAAACAATAGTACATGGTAGCTGGAGAAAGAATTAAGGGCAAAAAATAAATTTGAGGTAACAATAGTGGCCCAACACCACTGATCTGAAATATCTGTAAAAATTCAACTAAGTGTTTGGAGATTCAAGTAACAAACCATCTGCTCCAACTTGGTCAGACTTCCCAGAGTCCCTGCTGAGTTTCAGTCCATGAGCCGGCACTCACATAGCTCCTTGTAAATCCTCTTCCGCACTCGGGGCATGTCTTCTTGTGAAAACTGGAAAGGCTGCTCTAAGGCGAGGCACTTGCAGTACTGCAAAGGTCCCAGAAATACTTAAGTGGCACTTGGAGCTGTGTGCCAGCCCGTTATATTTTACTAAATACAGACCTAATAGAGTCTAAGGCAGAAGTCCCCAACCTTTTTGGCAGCTGGGACTGGTTTCATGGAAGGCAGTTTTTCCACAGACTGGTGGGGGTGAGGGGAGGAGGTTGGTTTCAAGATGAATTATCAGGTATTAGATTCTCATAAGGAGCATACAACCTAGGTCCCTTGCATACGCAGTTCACAATAGGGCTCATGCTCCTATGATAACCTAATGTAAATGGCATCTGTCCGTGGCCCAGGGGTTGGGGACCCCCGATGTAAGACAGCATTTTCATGTCTGTTTAAACTACTGTAAAAACACATTGTTTTCAACATTTGCCCAAATTACAGTCAATTGAACAAGTTAGTATATGGCTTGGGATTGCCTCTCCCTCCTGACCCAATATTGTGAAAAGCAGCAACTTGATGAAAAGGCCTAAATTCCTCCCGAAGTGCAACCTGCTGAGTGTGCAGCTAGATCTATCATGGCCCTTAAGTGGGAACTTGAATTTGCTTACAAAACCTCCAACATGTATGAGGTATACAAATGAACCTGTCTTCCAAGATCTTTGCAAATCTCTAAATTCATGCATTAAATTCTGTAATTTCCTTCATATATATATATATATATAAAACTGAATTTCTTCAATAGCCCTTTTTGATCTCTAAGGAGATCTACAGCATGAGATGGCAGTTTTTCAATGTGGACCATATTTAAAATTTAATCACTCTGTGTCAAAGACCTGCAGATTGCTTACCAATGGTTTTTTAAAAAAATTCTGCAGATGCCAATGGTTATGATATAGACAAATTCAAGTCAGTCTCCAATGTGGCTTACTAATAACCTCCAATGAGACACGGATGATACCCACAGGTCATTCTTGGTCCCTGGAAGGCGGTTCTTCCTAATGATAACATCTGAAAATGCAGAAACTACTGCTCTTCAGCAATAAAGGGGAGGGACGGTACTTTGTTGCTTGTACCTAGCATCATGTACACATACAGGAACTGCCATAACTCCCCTCTCAACCCAACAAACTCAATTCACACATTATAAATTCTGAAAAAACAGTATTTCTTTACCTGGAGCACAAAGACTCCACAGTCACTGTCATTTTTCTGTTGTGGAATACACTGAGGGGAAAAACAAGAGAGTCATTAAAATAAATTACTCCTCTTAAGAAAAACTCCTTTATGGAAAAATGTGTAAAAGATAGGAAACTTTTCTCTCTCCAGGACAGCTGGTATATCCTCTGATATTTCAAGCATCTAATTTTATGGAGGCACCTGGCCACATAAAAAGAGCTATCAAGTGGCAATCACAATTATAGAACAATGTTTTACCTAAAAATGAGAAATGGGAAATCAAATGTAAAAACCTACTCTAAAAACATGCATTTGGATCAGGGTTCTGCTATCAATTAACTGACAACAGAGTCAAAATGGAATTGTGGCTGGGAGAACACAGGCCTGGCCTCTGGATGCTAGGATGGTAACAACTCTGCTGAGCAGTCTTCACTTTCAATCTCACATCACACAACCCTGTCCTATTCTTTGAAAGAAATCATGAAGGTAAATAGTATGGTTTTTGTTTTTTGGGGTTTTGAGACAGGGTCTCACTCTGTCGCCCAAGCTGGAGTGCAGTGGCGAAATCTCAGTCTCCTGAGTTCAAGCAATCTTCCTCAGCTTGCCAAGTAGCTGGGCTAATTTTGTTTGTTTTGTAGAGATGAGGTCTCACTATTGCCCAAGCTGGTCTTGACCTCCTAGACTCAAGCAATCCTCCCACCTTTGCCTACTAAAGTGCTGGGATTACAGGCATGAGCCACTGTGCCCAGCCAACAGTATGTTTTTAAAATAACTGGTTACTGTATTCTGCCCAAAGTGGGAATACAGAAGATCCTGACTAAATTTAGAATACCTAGATTTTTTAGTCAAGTAAATTCAGTGAATTTACCAGCTCTGGCTTGAACTGGTATACTAGGTTATTCAAAACACAAAACTTAAGCTTAATTTTAAAATTCAGCATTGATTCAGTTTAAGGATGAACTAATAAATCTTGTCTCTTTGGGTTTGGCTTAAAGGTTTGTTTCAAGACCCTGCCTATAACATGTGTCAATGATCCAGATGGACCTGTGTTCAAGGACCTGACTATCAATAGTTTTGATGTCCTTTGGGGAAAATCACACCTGGGCTTCAGTTTTCTCATCTAAAAAATAAAGATGATGTTTACTCCTAAATGTGCTGTCTACCTCCCAGGTTATATGGATCAAATGAGCTCTAATGCACAAAAACACTGACAATACAGCGCAACCATAAATGGAAGACACTGGTATTTACAACAGGAATAAGCAGCTGTGCCTGGGCACTCTGCCCCACAGTTTGAATGTCATGGGCCAAACATGGCACTGCATCCAGACTGTGCTGAGACTGAAGCTCTTGGGCTATTTTCCCCACATGCCTGGCAAGTAGCCCAGTGCACTTTCCCCCTCAGTGGATCCAAATAGTCATTTCAGCATTTCTCTGGGTCTATATGGGTCATCTAGAAATAAGAGCCAAGACACAAGAGGCAAGTGCCACCCAAAAAACATTTTTTTTTCCCCAGGAAAGCAAATACATCATTAGCAACTGCCTCAGGGAGGAAATGACTGAAGTGATTTGCTCCCAGGAAGCACTGGGCAACTAAGCAGCAGATTATGAATACTAAACTGAAGTTTATTCTCAGCTGCCTCCCTAGAGCCTCCAGGCTCTCCTTGGTAGCTCTGTCACCAGTCTTCAAATGTTCCTAAAGGCACCCACCCTTAGATAATTCCATCCCCTGGACATGCCTGGATTTCATTGTTATTACATACTTACCTTTGTAACAGCAGTCTGCCAACCCTGAAGAAATTCAGGTCTATTTTTTTCTCTGGCTTCAGTCAGCAAATACTTTCTTATATTCTGGTTAAAAAGAAACCACAACACAGATGCTGTGTTCCATCAGTTGGTGAAAAATGGAACATGCCCACAGCAGACAGAAGCAAAGGAGGAGGCTGTGGCCCCATAATTGGGAAAAGTATGCATTAAGAAGCTTGGAACAAACTTTTTTTAAGACATGGGATCTTGTTCTGTCACCCAGGCTGGAGTGCAATGGCATGGTCATAGCTCACTGCAGCCTTGAACTCCTAGGCTCCAGAGATCCTCCTACCTCAGCCTTCCAAATAGCTGGGACTACAAGCGCACACCACTGCTCCCAGCTAAAGCTGGAACTTTATTTCAGACTCTTCATTTCATATTGTTAAGGAGGACTCATATCTTCTGTATTCAAAGTATGTACTAAGACTGTGGACACTGGCATTTGTTTAATCAGAACATTTTTTGAGATGGTTAGCTAGCCCTTCCTAGCAGTAAGTCAGCTTGCTGCATTTGAAATGTACATACTGGCAAGTCAAAAAGAAAGTCTTTATCATTGCCAATGCTCAACAGAGGAAAGGAACCCATTGCAGACATCATTAATAACTAAAACTAAATGAAAAACATTCCAGCCTTACATATTCTGATATACTCCTTATTTTTGAGGATTGCAGTAAAGGTTAACATTCAGTTTCTGGAAAGTTATACTAAAATTCATTCTGAATACTAATATGGTCAAGTCCAGTTTTGAAATATCTACCAAGATGAAGTCTGCTGAAGTTTCAAAATGTCCCCAAGGCCCTCAACCTCTGTGCATATCTCTCTCCACATCAAGAGTGAAGTCAGAGGTTATGTGAATAACCCACTCCCATCCCACCCCCAACAAAAGGTGGACTGGGGCCAGATGTGGTAGCTCACACCTGTAACCCCAGCACTTTGGGAGGCCAAGGCAGGAGGAACACATGAGGTCAGGAGTTCAAGACCAGCCTGACCAACACAGCAAAACCTCGTTTCTACTAAAAATACAAAAATTACCTAGGCGTGATGGTGTGAGCCTGTAATCCCAGGCACTCTGGAGGCTGAGACATGAGAATCGCTTGAACCTGGGAGGCGCAGCCATGAGCCAAGACTGGGCTACTGCACACCAGCCTTCCAGCCTGGGTGACAGAGACAGATTACGACTCAAAAAAAAAAAAAAAAAAAAAAGTGGACTGGAAGCCACCTCTTCAGAAGAAAAAATATATGGTGAAAGCAAATACTTAACTAAGTATGAGAGCACGTTGCTCTTCTCCCTTTAAACAAGTTCTCAGAATAAGCAGTATATGTAAATTCCTTTTTTTTTTTTTTTTTGAGACAGAGTCTCACTCTGTTGCCAGGCTGGAATGCAGTGTTGCAATCTCGGCTCACTGTAACCTCCACTTCCTAGATTCAAGTGATCCTCCTGCCTCAGCCTCCCAAGTAGCTGGGACTACAGGTACCCAGTACCACACTCGGCTAATTTTTGTATTTTTAGTAGAGATGGGGTTTCACTATGTTGGCCAGGATGGTCTCAATCTCTTGACCTCGTGATCCACCCACCTCGGCCTCCCAAAGTGCTGGATTACAGGCATGAACCACCATGTATAGCCAGTATATGTAAATTCTTAAATAAAATATAGGCAAAAAATATTTGTCCTTAAAAATGGTCATCACACTCAAAATGTACTGAGCATCTATAATGGTTCAAGTGCTGGGGACACTAGTGAATAAAACTCTTGTAGTCTCTGCTGTCATGAAATTTACACATTTATGTGGTAACTGTTTAAATTTTTCATCAATTCTTTGGAAATATAGGCCCCTAACTCTTAGTTAAGAGCCACTTCTACAACCCCCACATCCTCTTAAAACAAATAACAGCTTGACCCCACCTGCCTGGATGACTGACTGTACTTGGCTCTAAATTACTTCTAGCTATCACCAAAAAGGAGTCTGCTCTTAAGGTCTTTTCGCAAATGTGCAAAATTATTAGGCTAATTATAATTTTGCTGAAAAGGAAAGAACTCTGCAGGAGGGCTTGGGCAAAAATTCAGAAGATGAATTTTTCAATGACTGTGCAGAATGTGACTTTGCAGGTCCTAATGATTCAGAATCGACTTAGAACCCAACTGCATGTTTTACAAACAAAATGCTGTTTAATCATCATTTACTCCATGAAGGCAAATGTCTGTCTGGACCCTACGTGACTCCCTAGCATCAGTGCCTGGCACAAAGCAAGAGGCACATGAAATATTTCCTAGATGAAACAATTTTCCTGACACCTCTGCTGTCTTCTGCCTGTCAGAATCTGATTCTTAAAGGCACTGATATGGCTGCACTTTTGGTTATATCTTTGCAGGTTTGTCTAGGAAAGAGACAATATAGACAGGCTCTGGTCAGTATGAGAATATGCTGGTTGAGAGATGGGCAAGAATTAGGGGAAGGGAACTGGAAAAGAATGCTCACAACTGGTATTGTACCAACTCTTCTGGGCTGGAGTTAAGAGAACTCCTCCCAGGAGGCTTCTTGTTTTCGGGATTTTTCCTGGATTTCTTGGAAATGAAAATGTGAATTTGGAAAAACTGATTTTCCTCATAATTTGCATTATACTTAATTTTTAAATTAAATGTAAATTAAACAAATAATTCAAGAAAATATTCTCCTTGCTAGAAAAAAAAATCCCAAAGTAAGGCCAAAATATTCTCCTTGTAATTAAAATATCCCAAATAAGGCCAAATCCCCTTTGAGTCCTACTTTTCTACAATTACCCAAAGGTAATAATCATTGATATAAAAAATGCTAAGATCCCATCTTTTTACTTACAAATAAATATATATATTATGTGCCTACATATACACATGCATGGATTTGTATATATACACATATACATGTATTTTTTTCTGTAAATGTATTATCCTGTATCATTCCACAACTGGCTTTTTAAAACTCTATGCCTTGGACATCTTTCTATTTGAGGACTTGAAGGTCTACTGTATTCTTTTTAACTGCTATGGTCAGTTTAGTAGCATGGGTATACTGTACCACAGTGTATTTAGCTATTCTCTCGATAGAGCTAAACTGAGATTGTTTCATTTTGCACTGTTATAAATAATGCTGCCATGAACATCCTAGTACATGCCCCATCCTTATGTGCATATACAAGCATTTTTATGGATACCAAGAAATCAAACTGATATGCAACAGAATTTGCATCTTTTAATTTACAAAGCACTTAGAATTGATGAGAACTGCAGTTATCCCCAAGTGGCTGTATCAACAGATACACTCCACCAAAAAATACAAGAACGTCTATTTCCTTACGCTCACATAAACACTTTAATAGCATCACTTTTTCTAACATAATAGGCAAAAAATGTAACTGATGTAGTTTTAATTTGCATTTCTTTTATTTCTGGTGAGGCTGAACATCTCTCCATGTGTTTTTAAATGGTTATTTGTATTTTTCCTAAAATTTACTGAATTAGCCTTTGACCATTTCTATTAGGTCCTTTTATCCTCCCCTTATTCATTTGCAGGAGTTCTCTATGTATTCTGGATAATCATTGTCTGTTATTTACATCATAAACATTTTCTTCAAGTCTGCTGCTTGTCTTTTAAACTTTATGATAGACAGAAGTTTTAAATTATGAGGTGGTTAAATTTATCAAACTTGTGATAAATGTCTTTTCTTTGGTTCCACGTAAGAAGTCCTTCCCCACTCTATGAACATGGCATTTTCTATATTTCATTCAAATACTTTTACAGTTTTGTGTTTTACATGTAGGTCTCTCTCTCCCATCTATTCAGATTTCTTTTAAGTACTTAAATAAAGCTTTAGAAGTTTTCATCATAAATAATTTCCACATTTCCTGCTAGGGCATATTCCTGGGTTTATTTATGTTTTGTTGCTTTTATAAATGGAACCTTATTTCCAGTTACATTTCCTAGCTGGTTCCTGATAGTGCAGGAAAATCCAAAAACCTACTAATTTTTCTTGATTTTGTATCACACTATCCTGTTGAATTGTTACTAGCTGAACAGTAATATTTTGTCAATTGATTCTCTTGGGTTCTAATTTATTCTACAGGAGTTATTTTGAAGATACAAGCCAATTTTAGCTTTAAGATAATCCAAGAAAAACAATTTCTAACCACATTCAAGATGTAGTTTTAAGGGAAAAGCAGAGAATATCCAAGTAGAGTATCTCAGAGTGGGATCCGGATCTGAGACAGATCCTCTCCTCAGCCAGAATTCCTCGTCCAGTCCTTTTCTCAGCTAATATTTTAGAGGATTTTCATGAAATAAACTGTTTTGACTGCTGCTGTTCTATCTAGAGCTAAGATGCTATTTGGCCAATCATAAAATAAACGAAAACACAGGCAGTATATTAACTTACCTCTACACAAAACTTAAAATGAATGCCTTGGGAATCATAAAATGAAATAATTCGATTAGAGAGTGTCACAGTAATGAGAGACCAGTGGACTTCCAGATGAATAGGAATCAACAGAAGACTCTTTTTAAACAAATCCACCTGATCAAGAAAAGAGAAAGAAACGCAGCCATCACCACAGGCTATCCACACCACCAAAAAACAGCAGCTTCCATTTGCTGACCTTTCACCTGCACAAGAGCAAAAAACTAGGAAGCAGTGAACCAGAATTTGAACCCAGGTCTTACTCTAAGTCCATGCTTGTAACTGCTAAGCTATATAATATACAACAATAATACAAAAATAAACATATACAAAGTACAATTTTCTAATCTACTAAACCTGTGTGTCAACTGCCTGATACGATTTGGCTCCTTATTTTTATGCTTACCTCATTTTCTCATGTACATATTTAACCTGGATTCAACTCTTGTTTAGCAAGGAATCACAGTATTAGAAAACGGTATTAAGGGGCTAGGCACAGTGGCTCACACCTGTAATCCCAGAACGTTGGGGGGCTGAGGCAGAAGGACTGCTTGAGCCCAGGAGTTTGAGACCAGTCTGGGCAACAAAATGAGACTCTGTCTCTATAAAAAATAAAAAATCACTGGGCACTGTGGCTCACGCCTATAATCTCAGCTTTTAGGGAGGCAGAGGCTGGAGGATGGCTTGAGCCCAGGAGTTCAAGACCTGCCTGGGCAATATAGCAAGACCCCGTTATTTTATAAAAATAAAAAATAAAAAAATATATAAAAAATAAAAAATCAAGCCAGGCTCAGTGGCTCACACCTGTAATCCCAGCACTTTGGGAGGCCAAGGTAGGCGGATCACTGGAGCTCAAGAGTTCGAGACCAGCCTGGGTGACATGGTGAAACCCTGTCTCTACAAAAAAATACAAAATTTAGCTGGGCATGGTGGTGTACAGCTGTAGTTGCAGCTACTTGGTAGGCTGAGGTTAAAAGGATGGCTTGAGCCTGGGAGGTGGAGGTTGCAGTGAGCTGAGATCATGCCACTGCACTCCAGCCTGGGTGACAGAGCTAGACCTTGTCTCGAGGAAAACAAGTAAAAACAAAAAATCAGCCAGGTTTGGTGGTGCACGCCTGCAATCCTAGCTACTTGGGAGGCTGAGACAGCAGGATCACTTGAGCCCAGGAGGTCGAGTCTGCAGTGAGCCATGATCACACCTCTGCATTCCAGCCTGAGACCCTAAAACAGCATGTACAGACTCTTTCTGCAGATATGGTGTAAGTAGCAGTTAAGATCATGGGCTCCAAAGCAAGTCTGTTCAAGTTCAAATTGTGGCTCTTCCACTTATTGGTCAGATGACTCTGGTAACTTCCTTAGCTTCTTTGCAACTTGATTTCCTCAACGAATTAAAACGCATACAACAATAGTACCTACCTTATGAAGCTTTTAAGAGTAATAAACAAATACGTGTAAAATGCATAAAGCTTTGTTTAGCACATTATAAGTAGCCAAATACCTTAGTTATTATTATGATTACTCACTTGGGTCTCTCAAATGTCAAACTTGAGAAAAATGTCCTCGATAATACTTTATGCATCTTTTATAATCCCAACACATCCTTTATATCATAATATGTATCACTTTACAATCTAGAAATGCTTGCTACTGCACTCAAAATTCCAGATGTCGAGTGGGAGATAAAGTAGTGGGTGCTGCAAACACATTTGTAAAAGAGCGAATCAATTTCACTTTTCAGGTATTTTTTTAGAGTAACTTGGTGATTACTTGGGTTAAAACATTTTAAACTACCTCAAATTCTCAGAAACTAATTTCCCAAGATTTCCTTCTCACTTTCTGATGTTCAAATAATGTCATGCTCTAAATGAATTTTCTACAAGTCTACATGACCTTGGAGCAAATCATTTTAGCTTTTCAGTTTCTGCATCCATAAAATTGGGGGAGTAATGTGGGCAGAAGTAGTGAAAAGAATAAACAATAGTCCTTTCAGATTAAAAATTCTGAGTATCTGTTGTTTTTTTTTTTTTTAAATTCCAAGTATCTAAAACAAGGAATCATATTTAGAATACAGTAGTTAATAAAACCAGATTTATATTCCTCTCAAAAAGTAATGTTTTCTTCATTGTAAAATAGATTTCTGTATAAGAATTAGAAAATACAGAAAAGACACACTTCATGTATCCTTCCAAATCTTTTTCTTCTTCTAACACATTAACATATACATACATACATACAGCTTTATACCAGTTGAGTATCCCTAACCCAAAAACCTGAAGTCCTTCAAAATCTGCAACTTTTTGAGTGCTGACATGATGCCACAGACTGTCCACAGGGGTGGCTGAGATAGTGACACTTTTGCTTTCTGATGGGTTAATGTACATAAACTGTTGCATACACAAAATTATTAAGAATATTATAAATTACCTTCAGGCCATGCATCTAAGGTATATATGAAACATAAGTGAATTTTGTGTTTAGACTTTGGTTCTACCTCCAAAATATTATATATATGCAAAGATTCCAAAATCTGAAAAAGTCCAAAATCCAAAACACTTCTAGTCCCAAGCATTTTGGATGAGGGATATTTAACCTGTATACATAATTAAGAAAAATGTGCATGATAGACTGCATCATTGACTCCAATTACTTGTTGCCCTCCCTATGATAAGATAATATAGGCCTGCCCATTGCCATGTGACTTCTCTGCCCCTCCCAAAGAGAGAAGTGTAGTCCTGTCATGTGATTTGCTTTAGTCAAAAGGATGTAATAAGCGGAAGTGAAGTTATATCATGATCAAATTGAAACTTTAAGAGCTACCATGTGAAACTGCCATGTCTCAAGATAGGTGCTGCTCCTTCAGTCTGCTGCTGCTCATTCACAGAATAAAGAAGAAAAACCATAGGATCATCTGCTTAGATGTAGGAAAGGATCATCTGCTTATTTGATGAAAGTCAGTATCTACTTATGATTTAAAACTCTCAGGAAAATAGGAATAATAGGAAAGCCTACAGCTGACATCATACACAATAGTGAAAAACTGAATGCTTTCCTTCTAAGATTGAGAACAAGGGAAAGATGTCCTCTCTCATTACTCAACATTGTACTAGAAGTCTTAGCCAGTACAATAAGGCAAGGAAAAAATGGCATATAGATTGCAAAGAATGAAATAAAACTGTCACTACTTACAGACATGACTGTCTATGAAAATTTCACAGAATATACAAAAAAGTTCCTAGAAGTAGTAAATGACTTTGGTAAAGTCAGAGGATACAAAGTCAAAATACAGAAATCAGCCGGGTGCAGTGGCTCACACCTGCAGTCCTAGCACTTGAGGAGGCCGAGGCGGGCAGATTGCCTGAGCTCAGGATTTCGAGACCAGCCTGGGCAATATGGTGGACCCTGTCTCTACTAAAATACAAAAAATTAGCCAGGCATGGTGGCAGGCACCTGTAGTTCCAGCTACTGGGGAAGCTGAGGCAGGAGAATTGCTTGAACCCAGGAGGCAGAGATCCCACTACTGCACTCCAGCCTGGGCAAGAGAGTGAGACTCCACCTCAAAAAAAATTACAAATGATGCTGAGAAAAATTAAAGACCTAAATACATGCAAAGATATACCATGTTCATAGACTGAAAGGCTTAATATTATTAGATGTCAATTCTCCCCAAACTAATGTATAGATTAAACACAATCCCAATCATAATCCAGCATGCTTATTAAACAACAGAGTATGACAAACTAATTTACATGAAAATATAAAGGACTTGGAATTGCCAAAACAATCTGGAAAAACAACAAAGCTGGCAAACTCACAGTGATTTTGAGACACATTATGAAGATACAGTAATACAGTGTAGTGTTAACATAAAAAATAGGCATCAGTGTAAGAGAACAAAAGTCCAGAAGCAGACTTAAACATATATGGTCAGTTGACTTTCTGTAATGGTGTCAAAGCAATTAAATTGGAAAAGAAAAATATAATAAGAAAAAAAAATCTTGATCCCTCCTTACCTCACTTCTTATATACAAAATTCATTGAGATGCATCAGAGATGTAAATATAAAACTGGAAACTACAAAGCTATTAGAAGAAAACTCAGGAGGCAAATATATTTTAGAATGGACATAGAAAGCAGTAACTATAATAGAGAAAATATAGTAAATTAAATTTCATCAAAATGTAAAACTTCCAGTCATCAAAAGACAGTTAAGAAAACAGAGAAGCCACAGACTGAGAGAAAACAACAAAGCACAGACCTGACAAAGAACTTATATCCAGAACATAAAAACATCTCCTACAACTCAATAATAAAAAGATAAACAACCCAATAAATGGCAAACAATATAATAGAGACTTCACAAATATGATATACAAATTTCAGTTTTGCAAGTTGAAAGTTTTGGAGATTGGTTGCATAACATTGTGAATATACTTTAAACACTACTGAAGTGTACACTTAAAAATGTTAAGAAAGTACATTTTATTTGTATTTTATATAATTTAAAAAGTACTCGGCCAGGCATGGTGGCCCATGTCTGTAATCCCAGCACTTTGGGAGGCGGAGGCAGGCAGATCACTTGAGGTCAGGAGTTTGAGACCAGTCTGGCCAACATGGTGAAAACCTGTCTCTACTAAAAATACAAAAATGAGCCAGGTGCGGTGGCAGGTGCCTGTAGTTCCAGCTACTTGGAAACTTGAGACAGGAGAATCGCCTGAACCCAGGAGGTGGAGGTTGTAGTGAGCCGAGATCGTGCCACTGCACTCCAGCCTGGGCAACAGAGTGAGACTGTCTCAAAAAAAAAAAAAAAAAAAAATAAAAAAAAAAAAAAAAAAAAAGTACTCAGTACAGTCTTTCGTAGGAAGCACTTACCATGATAACATATGTAACAATACAATTTTTTAAAAGATACAAAAGGCCGAAGACAGGAAAAGCACATGAAAATGTGCTCAATGTCATTAGTCACCAAGGAAATGAAAATTAAATGAAAATTAAAATCACAATGAGACAATATTATATATACCCATTAAAATGGTAAAATTAAGAAGAAGCCAGGCATAGTGGCTCACATCTGTAATCCCAAAACTTTGGGAGGCTGAGGTGGGAGGATATAGTAATAA